GGGAACCGCTGCTTAGATGGTCTTTCACAATATTCTTCCGTGCGGACTTTCAGTTGCAGATACCACGGTTTCTAACAAGTTCTCCCATTCCGACTCCCTCTCGTTGTCTGCGGGTATTACACTCAGTATGTTCGTGTTATAACGTACATGCATAGACTGCAGGTCCCCGTCAGTTTGGTCTTTTATTGACGGAAGAGTGAGCACATGGCCATCCTTGGTTATCGCATGGTTACCGACGGGGGCATTTCGAATGACCGCGAAGGTGTAAAACATACGTCTTACTTATCATGTGCCAGCAGGAAAGACCAGAATAAGGTTGGGTTAGAAAGATGATGCATGGTGGATGGGATTTCTCACCACGGCACAAAACACGGGTAAACATCCATGACAAAGAGGGATTCGAACCTTTAGCCTTTCTGGTGCTTATGCCGTCATGGTCGACCGGACAAGCAAGGTCATATTGGTTGTACGTCGCTGCAAGGTCATATTGGTTGTACGTCGCTGCTGCTAACTATTGTTGCAGCATTGCTGTAGGTTCAGCGGCGACATATTAAGGACGTGAAAATGAGAAACGTCATGTCTCGCAACCCACGTTCACTCGTGTATGGCCACATTTACTTCTCGTTTCCTCCCTATTATCTCACTATCTCATTTATGTCATTCAAATTTATCTAACCTTTCTGCACTACTTAATTTATATTTTGGTAAAATGAGATATGAACACTGGATGACCCCCCATCCCAGTTTGATGAATGGGGTAGTAAAATAGTTTGTGATTATGGTACTCTTCTAGTTCTTGTTTACAGAATTAGCCTTCTTCTTACTGTTTAAACTACACACCAGTTTAATAACAGTACTTTGTTATACTTTAGCGTTAATTCTGCTATTATTAGCATCGCAGATATAGTCGTAAGCGACATCCAACTTCTACGTCTGTCAGCGCTTGGCTTTGCTCAGCATTTCATACAGTATTTAAACTTCCTAACATGTTAATTAATTATACAACAAATTTGGGTCAAAGTTAACAACAGTTTTGCGACTTTGAACATTGCGGGTGCAGAAGCCAGTGGCATTCAACCTGTCAACTCTTGTCTTTTCAAGGCGTCTGCGGTTTATCTGCTCACTACTGAAGTTAATTCACTCACTAGTCTACTTGCGGAGAGACATTAGTTCCCTCACTTCCCCCTCTACATCAGTCTTTGTTCCTTTCTAAACTATCTTCTCTTCTATTTTTCATTTTTCTCGCTCTATCACTATTTCTTATTCTTTGGAATCCTTACTTATCGCTCATTAGGTCTCTTTTTTCACTATCTCTAACCCCCAAATTTTCTCCCTTCCTATCTCAAACATTTCTCCTCCCCTTTTTGCTTACCTCTCCCATTTGCATCCTGCTTTCTTATATTCTGTTTCTCTCACACTATCAACGAAGAGAATGAAAGTGAGGCTCATATTGCCCCGGTTTCAACAAACGAACGACGTGTCGTTAATATAATACATGATAAAATACACTTTAAAACAAATAATTATCATCTGACAATGCACCTTGAACCATTCAATAGATATAAATGTTTCTAGAAAATTGTAGAAACACTTTCGTACGAGACGTTTTGGTTGTTGAACACGTCCAAAAATCCATCTCAAAATTTTAATTTCGAAAATCATTAACCTCTGAATGCCAACTTCCCTGAGAACCCAGTTTCTGCTGCATTAGTCACTACCGGCCGTATTACTGACATTGAGAATCTTAACTTTGCACTTTTAGGTATCAATTTACTTCTAAAGAATGATTGATTGGCAAGGTAAGATTTAAATATGGTAAATTAAAGGTGTTGTCTGGTATCCAAAATGTTATTTTGCTAATCGTTTCGATCGCGTTGAAATCATCCTCAGAGCTTGCAGCTTCCGGATCGAATACAAAGTTCTACCTTTGTTTCGGCACTGAACAACTTATTTTTCGGTCCGGAAGCTGCAAGCTCAGAGGATGATCGACACGCGATCGAAACAATTATTATCAAAATGCATTTTTGATACCAGACAACATCTTCAGTTAACCATGTTTATTAATAGACAGTATATACCTCACCAACAATCTAATTAATAAGGTAAGGTTCATTACCAGCTACTATTCTTTCTTTCATTTCTTCTTCTATATAATTATGGTTATCAACATTAGTATTTATATGAACTAACTTCTTGATAACTAAGATTATCAATACTAATATCATAGTTTTGTTGACTCAGATGTACATCTCATGAATTGGATCTTTTGGTCGTTTATGATTAGTCCATGGTTAACTTAAATGAACTTTTCATCATCCATCATTAACTTTCCGTAATAAACATATTAAATACATTCAAGACATTTAAAAAAAGTCTTATTATAAATATATTGTCTATAGTTGATCTGTTTTCCTAAATTCTGCTTCATGGTCACTAATTTGTTCTTCAATCATTTTAAAGAGTATATTGTTTAGAATACTTGCAAACACTTTGTATGAAACACTTAATAAAGTTGTCTGTAGTTTCTGCAATTTGGTCTATCTCTCTTTTTGAAATATGAAGCATATTGTGCCTTGTGTCCACTGTTCTGAAAGCTTTTCAATCACCCATATCTTTTGCATTATTTTATGCAGTTCTTTTTTAATAGCCTTCCTTCATGTTGTCTGAGGCAGCTGTCCTAATAACATATATTGCATTAGATGTCGGTGTACATTGTCCTCGCAGTTTTCTACATCAGAAGGAGCATTATTCTTTTCGTTCTCTACGTTGTGACTATTAAATTCGCAATACTTTCAAAATATTATTTCCATCTTTGGTTGATTTGCATTTTCTGTACTAGAACATTTCCTTCTTCATCCTTACATAGCATGAAGGTGAGATTATTTTGTAACAGATTATATTTTAATACACCAAAAAAATTATAGTTAATAATATCATATTTAAATATATTGTAAGGATTAAAAGAGCTTGTTAAGCATATAATTGGTGGTCAGAGAAATATTAGATCTTTATAAATCTGTCACATAATTTCCTTTGCCCCCGAAATTGAACGTAAAGTTTGAGCATCTGAAGTAAGTTAGAAACATTTTTTCATATTATTCCTTATGGTTTAAGAATATGCTATAAATTCGGGCAGCCAGTTACAAGCAATAAAAATTAAAAACCGATGACGTCACTGTTCACATGATTCTATTGGAACGACATTTCGCAGTACAGTTTGGTACATTTCGCGGCGCGCGGCCCATTTCGGTTTCGGAGATTGAGTGGCTCCAATTGCTCTTTATCGCGCGTTTATGCAGGAAGTCGTCGTAACCCGCACACGTGGGCTATCGTGCCCTTCAGAAATCGAGATCTGCAGAGACAGAAAGACTAAAAATCCCTGTCCACGACGTGCGCTACAGAAGTACAGAAGCTGAATTATTGCAAAAGCACTGCAAAGTTTTACTAAACCCACTATCAATTAGTACCATAATTCAAAATATTGGTTTATTATGAAGAATGCGTGTTATATCACTAAATCATTTTGGAAAAACAAAAAGGAAATACGAAAGGGTACAACAAAAATACGACCACAAGAGGAAGAGAGAAGACTGTGTTCCCAGCTCCCGTGGCAGAAGATTGAAAAATATCGGGCTGCGCGCATGTGTGTGCGATTTAAGGGTATGTGGAAACACAGTGGACTCGATCTTCAATAGACACAGTGTTTCATTCGACAACGCAGTGCGTCTAAGGCACTACAACAAATAGCAAAGAAACTAATTATGAGCCCTTCAAGGGCCACGGCAACCAGTAGCAACAATCGCAAAAAGCAGAGTTCGATTGGTAGCCTCTACTGTGTGTCCCTAACCGCCGTTAGAACCTGTTACTGATAATTAGGGATCGGATTATATGCAAACTGCATATGCATGCATATATTTGACATAACTTTTTAACAATCTGGCACATATCAACATATTAATAATGTTTAAAGAAATTAGATTCATTAATTGCAGGGAAGATTTCTTAGAAAGTAAGTCGTTTTCGTTTGTTGCATTCTTCGGATACCAAAAATGTCTTCTAGAAATTACAAGACCACAAAATTCCGTCTTATCAATCTTGTAACAAGAACAATGTGAAGATTAGATTTGGTTGCAAGAAGAAAGTTCTTCCATGAGAAATTCTTAATGGTCTACATATGTAACATTATTTAATGATACGATTTAAATATTGCTCTCCAACATCGGTTGATGTTGAATGAACATTTTCTATTTATAAACATATGCATTTTAGAGAAGTAATTGTTTGGTCGAGGATTTTGAAAAACACTAAGTAAAATGATTTGCAAATACTGTCTGGTGAGGACATTCACATGTGAACTATCGTTGAAAGTAGTATTTAATAATACATGTTCAACATGAAAAAATTATTATTATGTTTGTTTTCATTTTAATCCATATTTTCTGAAGTTTTATTTCCTGCATATTTTCTTATAATTTGATATAAATCTCCATTTGCCATGCATATTGTAGAATAAAACTGATAATAAATGAAAGTTTGAAATGAAAAAAATTGAATTTTGTGTTTAAGAAATTGATTTGTGTCTACAATTCATTGTAATATATCAATAACATTGAAATTTAGTTTAGTCTCGTCATTTTCAACAGTTTACTACTAGTCATTCATAAATAATTATTGACATTCGCTGGAGCATTATTCAAGAGATGTCTTACATTATAAATAAGAACATTTTCAAACAATATTCGTAGTCTCGGTTAATAATAAAAATTAATAGAAACATATTAATTGAAAAGATGTTTAAGAATTTGTATCTTATATTAATGTCTGAGTGTATAGTGTCATGACGTAGCAGCCTAACGTCACCGAAACGCGTGATTAGTCCTCATGTGTCAAGGATAGGATGCAAAAAATTAGAGAAATGTGAATCTAAGTATTAATCTGACTTTTATAAAATTGCGTTATCATTATAAAAATGGTACTGAAATGCGTGCTTTACAAAATTGTTAAATATTCACCTTGAAACCACGGACTGCAGTGGAGCACCAGTCATCAATTTCTTCCTTTGCAACTTTTAGAACGAAGATGAGACTTTCCTTTGTGCCTGCTCCCAGAACTCTATAAGGGTACGCGTTTAATCCTGCTGAAGATGAATATCCACTGCTGGTGGACCACTGAACTTCGACATCATCGTGCTTGAGATAATTTCGTGAAGCATGAAAGCTAAGGAACAATACAAATTATAATAATTAAATTACTTTGAATTTTGTGTATTATTTTCAATCCATTAATTTTATTGATTTTTTGGGTAAAATGTCTTACAAAATATTTAACAAAATGTCATTATATGGGTATAACAAAACTCAATGGAAAAACTTCAGGAATCCTACAGAAATAAAGGAAATGCAATACAGTATGAGTCCCGAATTTTAATTAATGTATTATCGGACGTATTCGTTTGAGCGCTCTGTTCACGAATGATTGGAAATTTTGAAAGCTATCTACAGATACTCGAATACTGACTTCCACGTGACTTTGCATTGGCTGCTTAATATGTGCAAAACACCTGGTGTAGTACATATTTCCTCCCAAATTGACACCGTGTGTGCCGTGAGAGTAAAACCACCATGCAAAATCACACTCGAATACATCAAATACTTAGTGTCCTGGGGTGTTGGATGGATCTATTAAATACTATCGTTTAGTGTTTGCCCAAGAGGCGATGAATACTATCAATTGCCTTCCAGGTTGGCAATTTTAGGATTTAATGCCATTCTTGATACAAGATTCATTGCATTGTTATCTGTCAAACCTTACAAAAAATGTATTGACGTGAGTTTGGATATATTTTATTAAGCATTTTAGGATTCTTATAATAATTAATAATCTTCGTATCTAGTAGATGAACGAATAATCTGCCTTTGAGTTCATTACCATCCTGAATAACACACAATTATAAACATTGTTATTATAAAGTGGGCATATGCATTCTATAAGTTGTTATAGATCTACTATTAAATCAGAATTAAGAAAAGTAATACATTTTTAATGTTTTCAAATTTAGATGAAAACATGATTAGAAATTAGCCCCTTTTTCACATTACAGAAAAAAACTAACTAAATGTAAACAGATGTATCATTTCATTATTATTTAATATGTATACTCACGTGTCACTAGAAAACATATGGGTGTCAGGCAACATGTTGAATGAATAACACAGCCCTTCTTCTGTGAGTAATGGTTTCATTATGTGTGGATCCCTCTTGACATTTCGAAATGACATATGCACTGCTAGCATGTCAATGTCAAATGCAAACTGTCAAATAGAAGAAGATGGGGAAGGTTATTGCTACATTGATGTTCCTAATATTGATAGTATTTAAAGGTATTCAAATGTTACAGTGTATTGACGACATCTCATTAGTTTAGTTTTTTACCTCTTCGATTCTATCAACTGCCGAAGAATTTTTGAATATTCCAGGAGTATCGTCAGGAATATATTCACACTGTAAAGCTACATCTGATAATGTCTCAAGCCTGAAAAATATTGCAAATGTGTGTCTACTCTCTTTGAATATTTATTTTAATATATATTTATTTCAATTGTTGCAAGTATGTTCTGTAACTCACTCTTCTCGACTAACATATTCGCTCCTTATGACATGTGCTGCCACGTCAGTGAATTTAAATTTTGTAGCTCTAATTTTTGATATAGGACATACTGTTACTGCTGGAAAGGGAATTTGCCAGACAGATCTCATAGAGCGATCCATTGCCAAAATAACGGGAGAAGTAGCCCAACTCACCAGCGTTTGCAGAATTAAATGGGAACAAAAAATCAGTGACAACACCATTGCACATAACCATACGAACCTGTGGAAAACACAAATTATTACCGGACAGATTGAATTGAATTGACCGATAGCTGAAAATCTTACGGGTAATCATCTTACATATCGTGAATACTCTGATACATGGTTAAAATATGTGTTCCAGAAAAAGCTAGAATAAAGTAATATCTCAGATTTTTACCACTCCATTTTGCCGTTATTGACATTATAAGCTTCAGATTGTTTAATAGTCTCAAAGTTTGTGGAGGGTAATTTAATTCCAGAACAAGAATTTACGAATAGGCTTATCGTAAACACTTAGCATTTTAATAATTTCTTATTTTTTGAATTCAATATATCAAACAATAAAATTTCACAAACTAGTTGTTATGCGTTTAACCACTGATGAAATACTAGTGATACTTGAAAGACACGATCTTGCAAGTATCACGTTAGTGATACTTTCAAGTTATGCTCTACAAAATATTTCACGAAACCCTTGTAAGTGCAATAAAACACATTAATCGTTTACTTTACCTTTCTAAAAGTGTTCTTTGAGGTTCAACGAGGTACTTTATTCCAGGAATACTTGTGTTTCGACAGAATTCCACCACGTAACTTTTTATATTTGATTTTCTATTTGATTTGAAGTACACTGTCGTTGGGAATCTGTAAAAACCAATCTCTAAACTTATGCAAAGAAATGTTATAACGAAATTGCAATAATCTTACTTTCGAGTCATTCTTCCTCTTAGAACCTCATCTTTCCATGTTTGTGAAATATTAAAAGGTGTGGTTCTTGTAACATTATTTCCAATTTTAATTTTACGTTGGCCACGTTTTACAAAATTCCATACTTGTATCATTTTACTTAGTATACGATCCGTATTTTTACGTTATACTACGTTAGACTGGCGGCCAGAATATACGTCTTGCTTTTTCGTTTCCTTTCAATTCTTGCACTAAAACACATGGTAGGTGCATACAGTAAGTCACATTCCAAGGAATATGACTGAGTATGTTGAAGCCTGTTCTAAGAACGAGAGACGCAGATGTAGGTGCGTGCTTATTAGCCATTTCACCCACAATAATCTGTCACCTTATCAACGCTTGTCATCTTCGCTGAGAGGTAGGCTTCTTGCCTGACACTTCACGTGGAATGGCATTACAAACAAGTTCGTCAGAAGTCAAATTGATCTGAGATCCTAACTGGGAACATAACTCTCCAAGCAAATGTTTACTTGGAATTTGAAAACCAATATTAAAAGGCACTTAGTCAACGTTACATTCATTGTGAGACTTAGTATACGCAAAAAGGAAAGGACTCTGGAAAACAAGAAATTTTCATGTAAACCTCAATAAAACTTTTATTGTTTTCTTCAACTGCTTGCTCATGTGAGCCACTTAACAGATCTTATGCTTGGCGCTGCTTCTTCATTCTATTCTTTTGTTCACATTTCTTGCAATACTTTTATCTACGACGGACTTTGTTGTTTTCCATATTTTCTCTCTCAACTCCGTATTTTGAAAAATATTTAAGGCATCTATTATATTTAAAGTTATTTTATAATGATTTTATCCATAATAAGACGTCGCGCATAAGGATAAATGCCTAAAACCTGGCCAAAATTCTAAAAAAAAATGTTTCTTGAGAACTTCTGACTCTTACGTTGTCTTTACTATTGCTGGGACTATTATACCTCGTACGTAAGAACGGCCGGAACTTACAAGTGAAAGCTGTATTTCAAGTTGAACATAGGGCTTTCTTGTATTTTCCGAATCACCCAAGTCGGACGGAAATTTGATTACGGAGTTTAAGTCAAATATTTTTGTTCTGTGAAAGTAATTGTTCAAATTTTAAAATAGAATGTGTTATAAAAGGAATATACTTAATTATAATCCCTTGTTTAATTATTTTTTCTTGCTAAACAAGTATTTTCAAAACGAATGTTCGTGCCGGTAAATAAGAAAATGTATTAAAAAAATGAATAAAAATTAGAAATAAGTTACAAATTTCACAATATCCCACTTTCGCTTAAATTTCTTGATGTTCGTATTTACTACACGACTGTCTATAAAATCCTGCGAATAGACACGAATCCGATAATGAGTCGGGTTTGTAGCGATAGCTCAAAATCCTGTTTTTTCTAATTTTATTTAACTTAATTTTAAAGTATAAAGTACGGTCCTTTTCCGTAATAATACATAAATGGGTATTAATACCATATAAAGGACAACATACTAACAAAATATTGCGGAAATACAACTTTGTCTTCCATCATGCACCGCTTAACTTAAAAACAATAGACAATAAAGCAGTAAAAATCCAGAACAGTCTACTGTAATGTTATGAAGCAGTAAGACGAAGGCATTTTGTTTTCTTCGTTGCATTCACAGATAATTTTAATTTTCAAAATAGAATTTTGATATAGAGAAAGAACCAAACTTACTAAAGAATGTCTGAAATAGTTATTTACAATATGAGTAATAAAACGTATTGCAACGTCTCATTTTTTAATAACATCTATTCGTAATTACTGTATTCGCGCCAAATCTGGCCATACTTAATTTGTATTGTTAATTGGCAGGTCCGGTGGCAGAGACCTGGAAATTATCGTCTGAAATGCACGATTTCCGGTCAAACTGTCTAAGAGGCCTCGCTGCAGTGATCCGCGTGTCACTAGACCTCACTCTTTCAACTTGGAATTCTTTCCAGCCTTTCCCCTCTATCAGCAATGCAAGCAGCGCCTCTCCTCCCCTCCGATCCCTGCCGTGGGAGTGACGAGGCGCACGAATAACAGCACAACATGGCCCGCACCAAGTGGGCCACACATCTGAGCAACCGTGATCTAGAAACCTGATTATTGAGGTCGCTTATTTGAATTTAAAAAGCAGTGTTCAACAATTTGTCCACGTAAACCAAAAGTGAATGATTAAGCTAAACATTTTTTCTTGGTAAGTATCTTTTGTATGATGTGTGCTACTCTTCAAAAGATATTGCCGTAATAAGGAAAGAAAACTATGAATGCGATGGATATTGAAAGAGCAACAACGGACGTCATAAGGGTAAGGATTTTCAAGACTTGCTTCTGATGGTGCCAAATTTGAGCATTCTGACTTCAGAAGAAAATAATTTTTAAATTATACACCTACAAACATGTTTGTGTTTTCGGGTTGCGCTCACAATTATGAATAATCATATGTGCTACTTTCCCCACGTATTGCGTATTTACCCTCACCGAGCTTTCTACGTTCTACGTTGTCTCGTTACAAAACTGGAAGACAAGGAATTACGTGAGAGAAATATCAAACATGATATTAGAAAGATAGTGCCAAAGTTGCACCTGAGATTCGTCACAGAGATACGTGTTCTCAATTTTATAAAAAACAAAATTGAGAGAAAATGTTTGAGTATTTATATCTTTATTGCGTATTTTATTAATAGTATTTTCATTGGTCTTCTCTTTATGTATTTATATAAACTATATTTTCATTGTCTGCTCTTGGTCGGGTGACAACTCAGTTCCTTCAATCTTCAATTATTTTGATAAAAATAAAGGGAAAAAATGCTTTCTTCTTCCCACGCTACAATGAGCAATAGTTTAAAATAATATTATGGTGGTTTGTGTAAAAAGAAAGCCATACTGAAAATAGTGCGGGTACAATCGTACAATCGTACAATCGTAATCGTACATAAAGCTCAGATATTTTTCTAAACGACATTTATTCAGAATGCGAAATCATCATTAAATAAATCTACACTTCCTGATCCCTGTAAAAAATTTGTATCTAGCAATACAATACGGACACGCAACTGATTATACAACTCAAAATGTTGGCATGTATGCTTAACATTATCCTAATGCCTTGCATATTATACCTCCCATCTCATACTCACTATCCTACTCGTTCTATAAAATTGCGTTTAAATATAAGAATGAAATGACTTAACTTTGATCATGCATAGAGCCTGCGAAGTTGTTGACAATGCCGAATATGCTGTGTTTACGCACTGTGACACTATTAAATATTCGAATTGAAGTGCACACAGCAATACTTTTCTGGAACCATGACTGAATAACTATAATATGATCCTTAAGTGGTCAAAAAAGCAAGTTAGCTCGGTCAGCAGGTCAGCAGTTGACACTTGTGATTGTTAAACCCAACGAGAATTTTGTTTATGAAACTATTATTTCGACAACGCTATGAAGTCAAAAAAACGTTTACCATTCAGTAAGCTGGAAGAGTATTTTCAAGTCTAGACAGCTACAATAATTTTAACATATTTCAAATACGTTCTTTTCATTTAGTCGTACATTAAGTTTTTCATTGTATTTTCTCTCCTTACTTCTTAAGATTCTTAATTCCGTACATAGTAAATTCCTTCCTCTAAAATGTTATGTAGTACGTATTCCTGTTTCGTGTAGGTTCTTGATTCTGAAAATTCGATTGATGGCAAATCGTCTCCTGGGTGGGTAGCTGTTCAGATGAATGTTTCCTACATTTGTCCGGATCGATCTGACCAAACTTGGGGCCCTAAAAGTTTGAAGTGACTAATTTGATTTTGGGGAGTACTCTGCATGAAATAGGAAAAATGTTTCCAGAAATAACTCAAAATTATTTTATCTAACTTTTTCCTTGGCTAGGGTAAGGAATTCTTCAAAATATGGCGCGTGTTTCATTTTGATGAATTCCCTGATTTCTGAAAATTGCAAAAGTTCAGGATTCTTCGGTATCTTACTACAATAATAATATTGTAGAAAGAGATTCTTTACTAAATAAAATTTGTTGTTCAAATAAATCTTGAAATAAGGTTCAAAAATAGTATAGTTTGTGCTTAATTGCACTTGATGCGCTTAATTGGCAATATTTAAACAATTATTTTCTCGAAAGGCAACCAATTGTTTCTGTAATTTTTTCTTTGGTATTTCTCCTCCATAACTTTAATGTACTGTTGAAACCACTCTTCCATAACTTGAATGTACTGTGAAAACCTCTCCTCCATCTTTAATTTACTTAGGGTAAGTGGGAAAATCTAGACAAGTGAAAGCAGAAAATGAAGTTTCAGTGATATACGGCATGCCGTGTTTTGATATGCATGTGGTAATTACTGAACGCCATCTTCACAAGCAGAAGTCATTTTAGGGTACAGACAGAGTGGATCCTTTTTCGGCCGAAAAAAAGGTTCGCGCGCAAACGGCCGAGAATTCTGCCGACCTGATTGGATGCACTGCATCCGACTGCAATAGGCATCTATTTGTAAATTATTGCGTATAAATGGCATCCAATGGAAGCGAGAAGATTACAACTGCTTGCTGAGACCTCTGCTCTTAAATTTCTTCTGAAATCATCTTTTTAAATTTCTTTTGAATTCTTGATAATCAAAAAGATTACTGGGTAAACTCTATTTTTTCCGATCGCTAAAATATTGGCGAATTTCATACCTTGTATTACCAATTACTGAAACAAGCAGTGAAAATTTTCGAATACACAGGAATGTTGCCTGATACTTTTTTACAAACGTGGAGAAATTAGAATTGACATTGAAAAATGTACTACAGGGGAATGACTGATCATAACCATAAGGTATGTTCCATGTTTACAACACATTTGGTACTGCAATATACATTGTTTCACGTGACATCTACACAATTTCACAAATGCAGCT